CTATTGCTAACCGATTTGCGGCCAAATACGGCCGCGTGTCATAATACCGATGATATCACCAGATAGAGGACACTTTAACGGACACGACAGTATCAATATCATGTACCTGACGGATAAGAAAGAGGGGGTAAAGTCAGCAATAAGTAGAGCGCACGCCTTAAAAAATCTATTGCTGGCCGATTTGCGGCAAAATACGGCCGCGTAACATAATACCGATGATGTCACCAGATAGAGGACACTTTAACGGACACGACAGTATCAATATCATGTACCTGGCGGATAAGAAAGATGGGGTAAAGTCAGCAAAAAGTAGAGCTCGCGCCCTCAAAAATCTATTGCTAACCGATTTTCGGCAAAATACGGCCGCGTAACATAATACCGATGATGTCACCAGATAGAGGACACTTTAACGGACACGACAGTATCAATATCATGTACCTGGCGGATAAGAAAGATGGGGTAAAGTCAGCAAAAAGTAGAGCTCGCGCCCTCAAAAATCTATTGCTAACCGATTTTCGGCAAAATACGGCCGCGTAACATAATACCGATGATGTCACCAGATAGAGGACACTTTAACGGACACGACAGTATCAATATCATGTACCTGGCGGATAAGAAAGAGGGGGTAAAGTCAGCAATAAGTAGAGCGCGCGCCCTCAAAAATCTATTGCTGGCCGATTTGCGGCAAAATATGGCCGCGTAACATAATACCGATGATGTCACAAGATAGAGGACACTTTAACGGACACGACAGTATCAATATCAAGTACCTGGCGGATAAGAAAGAGAAGGTAAAGTCAGTAATAAGTAGTGCGCGCGCCCTCAAAAATCTATTAATGACCGATTTGCGGCCAAATACGGCCGCGTATCATAATACCGATGATATCACCAGATAGAGGACACTTTAACGGACACGACAGTATCAATATCATGTACCTGGCGGATAAGAAAGAGGGGGTAAAGTCAGCAATAAGTAGAGCGCACGCCTTAAAAAATCTATTGCTGGCCGATTTGCGGCAAAATACGGCCGCGTAACATAATACCGATGATGTCACCAGATAGAGGACACTTTAACGGACACGACAGTATCAATATCATATACCTGGCGGATAAGAAAGAGGGGGTATAGTCAGCAATAAGTAGAGCGCGCGCCATCAAAAATCTATTGCTGGCCGATTTGCGGCAAAATACGGCCGCGTATCATAATACCGATGATGTCACCAGATAGAGGACATTTTAACGGACACGACAGTATCAATATCATGTACCTGGCGGATAAGAAAGAGGGGGTAAAGTCAGCAATAAGTAGAGCGCGCGCCCTCAAAAATCTATTGCTAACCGATTTGCGGCAAAATACGTCCGAGTATCATAATACCGATGATGTCACCAGATAGAGAATACTCTAACGGACACGACAGTATCAATATCAACATGTTGATATGAGGAATCTTCAATGGATATTTAGCTATAAGGCATTTCAAACATCGCTACAGACCAGCGGATATGAACTAGGCATTGAAAAATCACGTTTTTTGTTTCCTTTTATTTTTGAAGTAGCAAAATATAAAAACGTATCAATGTTAGTACAATACTTTAGGCCTAAATAATTGTTTCGGTACTAAATTATATATGGATTCTACCTCTTATTTACTTTTTTGTATTAACTTTATAGTATGGGGCTGGTATTGATTTGGTTTTTAAGGCTCTGGTTGAAATCAAGCCTATTCCAACGAGTTTTTAATATGTAATAAAGTAGTTCAGAGGTGTTAATCCGTCTACAAAGCAAAGAAGCTAAGATATCTCATGATATCTTGTATAGGACTAGATCATGATAAGTGTAAAGGATTCTCTTTGAGCAAAACTCCCCCCAACTAAAGACCATAGCTAAAATTTAACAGCATTTATTTTATAGCAAGGACAACACCAAAGTTACGTTCATTGAATGCTCACTTTTATCCTAATGTAAAATTGCCTATAAATCCGTTAAAGTGTCCTCTATATGGTGACATCATCGGTATTATGTTAAGCGGCCGTATTTTGCCGCAAATCGGCCAGCAATAGATTTTTCGGGCGCGCGCACTACTTATGGCTGGAGTTATTGCCAGGTTCACTCCAATGAAAAATATGGCCGCACTGCGTAATACCCATACAGTCACGAAATAAAGGACACTTAAGTAGGCTACTCAGTATCATGGTCATATACCAGGAACGCACGAGGGTCATACAAAAAGGGCTTAAAATGACAAACTGCGCACACCAAAATCTATTGATGGCCGTTTTGCGGATAAATATGGCTGCACTGCGTAATTTACCCATGCGGTCACGAAATAAAGGACACTTTAACGCACTAGTCAGTATCATGGTCATGTACCAGGAACGCACGAGGGTCATACAAAATGGGCGACAAACTGCTCACCCCGAAACGTTGTCATGGTCATATCTTCAAAGACGGGTGGCGGATATATCCGCTGAATTTCTACTCATTCGCAGACGGGTAGCGGATATATCCGCATAAGTAGTTAAAAACGAGTAAAAAATTATTTTGACAGTATGAAGTGTTCCATTGTGTTTATTTTATGTATAGGCCTACTTGTATAACAAAACACAAATATGGAAAATTAATTTTTATTTTTTCCTCTATTTTTTCCCGTCCTATGTCACGATTTAGTCCATCCGGGAAGGTTAACAGTCAAAGGTTAGGCCTAACTTAGGTAGGCCGGGTACAGTTTCTTAACTGGGCTATGCTAATATCGATTGAAACTATCGAATTGAAAATATTGATTAATAATCTTTATTTTTAAATATATTTATTATCAAACTAAACTACGGTATCTTAACCTAACCTAACCAATCAAACTTGCTGATGGTGAAAAAATTGCATGAAAATTTACTAATCGAATCGATAGTTTCAATCGATATTAGCATAGCCCAGTTAAGGGGATCCAGGCTTCAGAAAGTGAAAAAATTGCCAAAATTCACTTCTTTTTTTTATAGTATTTTATTGTTATTTGGTTATTTATGTACAAGAAAATATAAGTTTTATAGGTATCCTAAACGTTTTTCATAACAAAAAATATAATTTCCCCAGATACTACATGCGCGCGTCTTAGTATTTTCTAGGACTTCGATCGCGATTCCCCGAAAGTTGTGGTTTTTAGTGTTTTGTAACAGAAAATTTGATATATCTCAGCCAATTTTTGTCCTATCATGCTGAAATTTTTACCAGATGTTCTTGATAGTATTTACAAACCTTTTGGGTATAATTATTAATATAAGTCAAATAGTTAAAAAAATATAATTTTTTTTATTTGGAAAATAGTATTTAAGAATTTTTTTTGTTTTTCAACCTTTATAAAATAAAAACCAATTATCCTACAAACAAAGTAATACCCAGGATTTCAGTAAGTGTACATAGCTACAAAAAGACACCTAATTGAACAAAATTGATCAACTATTTTATGAGTTATATCAAAAATAAAAATGTGTTACGTTATGATACATAAAAATACATAAAATGGTACTGTGGTACATAGAGTGGCTACAACAAATAAAAAAACAGTTTTTAGGCCCATTTGATATAGTAAATATCTTTAAAAAATGATAAACAAAAAAAATTTAAAAAATGTATTTTCTGAAGCCTGGATCCCCTTAAGAAACTGTACCCGGTAGGCCTAGGGCCTATACCTATTGTGATAGGTGTAGGCCTATGTTTACATGAGAAGACCATTTTAGTTACCTTTGGCATGGTTATCTGAAACAATCTTCCCTTATTTTGGGGGTTTTGAAGGGTAGCCATTCTTACCCTTATTATGCTTTCAGGAAATAAATCATTCTCATTCTCTCATTCTCATTCTCTCATTCTCATTCTCATAGCCTACAGTTTCTTAACTGGGCTACGGTACGGTAATATCGATTCGATTAGTAAACCTTCACGCGATTTTTTCACCATCAGCTAGTTTGGTTGGTTAGGTTAGGTTAATTTTATAATAGACTAGCCACCATACCCCTGATTCGCAACGGGAAGAGAACGCTTAAGAGAATAATTATTATTCCATAGATCTGCTAGGCCTATATGTAGATACAATTTTAGTAATCCACTAACTTAATTAACTTAAAATATTAACTTAACTGGTTACTTCCGTTTCCCAGACAATTTTTTTGGGGAAATAAACCATAAAAATTCTGTATAAGTTATTAACATTTTGGGAAAAAGAAAGTCAATAAATTAATGAATTACGCACTTAAAAAACTCCTTATTCACACAATATCAAAAATTATTTATTAAATTAAAAACAAAAACAAAAATGGTAAACAGTCCTACTTTGACAGTTCTAATTTTGTATCACAGGTGCTTGGTTGAAATTAGCAACTGTTAGTAGGCCTAGTTCTAGTTGTCATAAATTTAGACAATTAATATAGTGCTGCACCCTGTTGATAAATGTTGTAATCTTTTAATGCTATTGATCATCATAGAATCAAATTGTTTAGTTGAAACAGCTGTTAAGATTCTTTAATTAATTCCATTTAAATATGAGTACGGTACTCATACGGTTAACGTCAACGTGGGAAACTCCAGAGCCATTGGGGCGGAGGCGGAGCCCTTTTGACTTTTGACATATCTGCACCAAACTTCACACAAACCATCTTTAAATAATGCTTTAATGCCTCAAAGTTTCATTACAATCTGTCGAGTGGTTTCGGAGTTCATAACGTTCAAATATATATACAAACTTCCTCTTTTATAAATATAGATATATTTTAAAATATTGATTAGGCCTAAGTTATTAATCAATATTTTCAATTCGATAGTTTCAATCGAATATTAGCGTAGCCCAGTTAAATGTAAGAAACTGTACCCGTTTTGAAGTTAATGAATAATAATTTAAGGCTAAAAAGAATAGGCTAATTCACTTTGCCACCCCAAAACAAGTCAGTGAGGACGTGAGGACAGGTAACATAAGTGCAACTTGAGGAAAATATAGGCTAACGAACAAACTTACAGGTAATGGATTAATGGTATTATCCACTGTTTTCCACTCTAGGCCACGGTTGTACAAGACAAATTAATTATCCTCCTCCTAGAACCCTAGAAGCAAATCAAAATTCTTCCTCCCATGCATCTAATATCAGAATTTAAATAAATAGGTAGGTGGTTGCCAGGCCTGTTGCCAGTTGCCAGCACAGAGCTATAATTCTAACTGGAGGTAGCACAGAATGTCAAAGATGCGTGTCGCCAGCCGCCATGTTTGCGTGAGGTGTGAGTGTGAGTTATAAGAAACCATGTTATTGGATAAAAAAAACTCACTGCTATACCAACCTAACAAAATCAGCGACACGCTTTTGACAGACTTCTGCCATGGCAGTGCTACCTCCAGTTATAATTTTAGCTCAGTGGTTGCCAGTTGCCACTTTCCCATTTGCGGTGTTGGAGTTGGACCGTCGTGTCGTGAAGTTAGCGGCTCCATCGGCGCTTTTTTCGAATTGTAATAGATACGGGTTGGTAAAGGTGTGCTACTCAGCCGGACGAGTTTGAGACCGTTCTGGTCTGCGCATCGCGACGTGACGTCACCTTGGGGGCAAACCGCTTCGCGCGCGTATATAGCTCAGCGTGACACTGCTCTATTAACATCAACATTTTGAACTGTTAGAATTGAGGAAAAATTATGAAACTTGACATGGACATCAATTATAAGTGGACGATGCGTGTTGTGAAAAAAATAGTTTGTAATTGTTAAAAACTTAAGCGTGAAATGAAATCACTCTTTATACTTGGCCTTTCTTAAAACTAAACATGTAAAAGTTAGTCGGCTACCAAATCACGTACTATTTGGTTAGAAGCATTTGACCAGCGGGAAAGTTTTAGATAAAGATCCAAATTTAACTTTCCTTCAAACTATATACCGTTAGAGGCGTTATTTCCTGAGATATGCTAAGTTATATGAGCGCGTGATCGGAGCGCGTGCCACGAGTCGAGTCAGTTGCCAAGTAGGCCTATTAATCACACATTGCCATCCAACAAATAATGTAGTTTCATGAATATAGTATCATTGATATTTTTATTCCTGTATTTATATTTGTATTCCTGTATTTATATTTTTATGTGAAAAATTTTTGTTCTGTTGACTTCAGTGTGTTTTTCCCCGTTTGAATATGGGTTGTTTCGTAATAGTTAACAGAGAATATATACAGGGTGTTGAAAATGTCTGGAACCAACATTATATCTGGTGAGTGGTTAAGAAAAACAACTGAATATTTTGTGTACGGATATACTATGGTTTTACCTATCTTTTGGTGCCTATGAAATTTTTTACCACTCATAGGGAACGTCCTGTGGAGGATGCAGTAAAAAGTTTTAATGGAAGCCTATGGTAAATGATACATCATTTTAAAGGCCATTTTTTTCTGAGTAAGGAGCCGCAAGTTTTCATCTCAAAAGGATCACCCTAGCAAAAATGGCGACTTTTTGAAATTTAAAAGCATTGCTATTTAAATGGTCCGTATTTGTTTCCTTTAAATGATATTACAAGCCAGTTACGAAGTACAGTAGTTTATCACGTGGTGAACTGAAAAATGACTGAAAAAAAGTTTAACTAAATTGTTTGGGTTGTTTTACTAAACTTATTTTTAACAGAAATACCAATTAAGCTTTCAATTATTTTCAAAACTTCAAACAGTCGCCATTTTTGCTAGGGTGGACCTTTGAGATGAAACTTGCGGCTCCCTTACTCAGAACAAAATGGCCTTTAAAATTATGTATCATTTACCATAGGCTTCCATTAAAACTTTTTACTGCATCCTCCACAGGACGTTCCCTATAAGTGGGTTTTTAAATTTCAAACAGTCGCCATTTTTGCTAGGGTGGTCCTTTTGAGATGAAACTTGCGGCTCCTTACTCAGAAAAAAATTGAACTTTAAATGATGTACCATTTACCATAGGCTTCCGTTTAAAACTTTTTACTGCATCCTCCACAGGACGTTCCCTATAAGTGGTAAAAAATTTCATAAGGCACCAAAAGATAGGCAAAACCATAGTATATCCGTACACAAAATATCAGTTGTTTTTCTTTAACCACTCACCAGATATAATGTTGGTTCCAGACATTTTCAACACCTGTATATACTATTGTCTCCTCGGTGAATAGGGTTAACGTTGCCAAATTGCATTTAAAGTATTGCAAATCGTTGTTGATTAGTTCAAACCAAAGTTTGCAAATAGTGGTTTAAATAATAAATGATCTTTAACGCAAAGGAATGTATTTAACGTAGTATATAAAATAAAATGTACTCTGTTAAAAAATAAGTTGGTGATTAAACATTGTATTTATAATCAGGTTAAAATATAAAATTGTTTCACTCTTGCAATACCATGATAATAAAATGTGATATTCCAGTTTAATTCGACAGCTGGGATCCTATTTCACGAGGGGTTGTTATATATCGCAACTTTGGCACGGGTGGCGGGGGTGTGTGCGGGGGATGATCACGTGTTGTTTGTTTTGTTTTCGTTTCTGTGTTCACCGCGAGTTGCAGTAGATGTAAGATTTACATAGGGCACACATCTTTCTACAAAAATGCCCCATTGTGCAGTGTACGGTTGTTGTAATAGTTCGAAAAATAAGAAAACGCAACCAAACGTGCGATATTTAGTTTTACTCAACAAATCAACAGGAGGCTAAAACAATGCACTTTTGCTAGTGGCAAAAAAAGAAAATTTCTAAAGAAACATAAAAAAGTTTAGAAAATCCAGAGGTGACGAAATGTTTAATTTTTTAGATGTTTACTTTTAGGTCGTAAATATTTTTATAAGATTGCAAAATGTAATAAACTATATTTTTGGTTAAGGAAATGTTATTCATTTCCGATCCTACAAATTTTATGGTAACAGTTATCAAACAGAGTTAGTAATTTGTATAAAAACGAAGATGTTGCAACGCATTTTAATGTAAAACTTATTATATCTGTCACATGTTAATATTAAAATATTTCATTTAAAATGTAGAATACAAAGTATATCCTTATAAACATGTAGCTACAGTGTTTTGGATAATAAATGCGTGGCCTTATTATCCAATAAACGGTAGCATCGGCTGGCTGAGCGCGCGCTCCGTTGCCGCTTAATATAATTCTTCGTAGCTAAAAAAGTAATTCTTTTATCGAAATCCAACCGATACTGCAGTTAAATTAGAACCTTTCCCTAAATCTTTCCCGCAGGTCTCATAAACCTGACCAAATAATACGTGATTTGGTAGCCGACTAACTTTTTTGTGTTAGTATGAAAAAGTTTGAAGTTTGATCGGTGGTTGAATGGTTTTTAATTCAAATAAATTAATAAAATTTAAACCATAAGCATCCTATGTTAATAGTCCAAGACTATGCAAAGTTTCAGGAATTTTTATCGGTTCTTAATATTAAAAATTACAATTTTATTAGAGCGGCGTCACTGCTCGATATGGTCGCGAGGCATGTTTGCCCCCAAGGTGACGTCACGATACCCCTCCCCCGCACCGCCTGCAGCCGGCTACGATGCGCAGTAGCACACCTTATTTACTTCCACCACGCCTGTGGATGCCACAAACCACTCACAAAACGTGTTTTGTAGGGATGCCGGAAAGACAATACAATGATATTACTGTGCGAAATGATGTTTTTACATGTATATAATGTAAATAATACCACGATCTTCATAAACGTGGATAAACCGTGTATACACGTGCAATAATTAATTCATGTATTGTAGGCATATTTCGTAGCTATGGCTGAACAAAACACGTTCAATTAAAACTCCCAACATAAAAAAGTGCATAATCTTTTTCCTAAACCCATCACATCAACTTTGAGCTATTCTACTACTGTAGTAATATACCCAATGTTTAGAATAATCGGTATGAGTATGATTGAGACAGACCCAATAGCAAGGCTGCGCAGGGGGTTTACTGTGAACAGGCCTGACTTAAATGTCACTCCCCCAGCGGGCGGCGCTTCACTCCAAACACTCGCCGAACAGAGTATAGTTTCCATCCCTATAGTGTCAAGTGTCACCGAGCGAACGAACACTACCCATCGATAAAACCCATTTTATGATCGAGACAGCGGCATCTCTTGACGTTCTTTGACCTGCGTAGCTTATATCTAAATACTATACAGCCGCATAAGAATTTATAACCCCAGACATATTTCGGGGTTTCCTAAAGACGACCTTCCTATCTCTAAGCCTGCCAGAAGAGGTCGGAAACAAGGTTATAAATTCAAATTTGTTTATTCTTCAATACAATTTTGGCAATCATACAAAATTATAAAATACTTGTTGGTTTTCTCACATTTCTCATAGTCACTGTACATTTTAACTGTTTTTATTTCTGTTTAATTGTTATTCCCTGTTTTTATTTCTGCTCCCTAAACTACTGCAAGATTTTACAGAAAATGCAACGCCAATTTATTGATACACATGTCAATGATAGAATTATTTAAATTTATAAAGACTTGTTATCTCTGTTATCCAAACAAACAAGAAATATTAAAATTGTATATACCGGGTGTTTCAAAATGAATGACCCGGTTTGAACGCTTCATAACTTGTGTACTATTAAACTTACCGCGATAAAATACACATCAAACGAAATAGCTACTCAAAAGAGTTTATGCCTTCCAAAGACATATTATTTAACAAAAATCGATCCAGCAAAACTGTAGATTTAATTGTACAAAGTTAAAAAGTAATCTCAACTTTTTTACCACTAGAAATTTGGAGGTTGCTTTTGACGTTTTTGCAAATAACTTTAGTAGATATAATATACGGGTTTAAAGTCACTTGGGGCACGTTTTCCCGATAAGAAAATAACATGGGATCATTTTTTGGCCACTAAAACCAAAAATCCTGATCTTTTCCTAAATATCCCTATAAAATTGTCAAACCTTATTTCTTACTTATTCCCCATAAATATATTCGATATTAAGCTAAAAAAGCTATTTCTTATATTTATTGACCCTTACAAGTGTAAATGTAGAGTAGAGGCAATATGATGGTTTAACATCACTTTAGGCACGTTTTCCCCATAAGAATAACATGGTGAGCTTTTTTTGACCACTTTTTTAAAAATCCAGCTCTCGGCCTATACAAGCCTATATAAATGTTCAATACCATTGTACAACACTATTACTATTTCAAATCCATATCCATTCACATGTATATTCTCAAAATCATCAACTTGACAGTGCGAGGTTTGT